TAGAAAACAACAACTTTGATGAAAAATTTTTATTAAATTTTTGAATCTAAATTTAGCTTCTTCCTAAATGCTTGTATTACTTAAAACGGCATTGTGCGAACATAATTTCAAAAAATAGTTCGACTCCAACATCTATCTAAAGAGTAATTGCTTTTTTAGTGAACAGAATTGCATCAATCCGAGATTGAACGCATCCAATGTTGGATCCGACATTCGCCTAGGCCAATCTAAGATTGGACGTAATCTCAGTTTGGACACTGACATATATATATAAAATATTTCGTTTTACTCATTCTAAGAATATACTAATCTATTTTCTTTTTCTTGCAGTATTGCGACTTTTTTTTTTACTGCTCTCAGCATTAAACTCTTACAAATTATCTAAATATCATAGTTGTATATGTTAATATGACAGAATTTATTAACATTTTTCCCGAAAACTCAAGAGATTTTTATAATCAACTACTTCTTGCAAAAAAAAATTGCTCTTAATTGAATCAATTATTATGTTATTGTAATATGAATTTAGAAGATAAATACAAACTTGTATAAAACTAATCAATCGACATCCAATAGTTCCGAGTACAAATGGTATACAGCTTTTTTCAATAATATCACGAGTAACAATAATAATGCCAACAAATAGATCTAAATGAAAGAAAAATTTTCTTTATTTTTCTTATCGAAATCTATATTTGTATATATATATAGTTATATGAATAATTAATCATTGAGTGCTTATAGCAAGTTATATTAATGTATGTTTTTCTTGAACAACTATTATTTTTAACGTCGATCGGATCTTTTTTTTTTTTTTTTTTTTCTCTTCTAAGAACGACATATATTCGTTTGTCGTCACGTATGTTAACGACTCACTCATCTGAATAATCGTTAAAATACAATTAGTTGTGATGCATTATAAGTAGTATTTCTGAGAAAATAAAACAGTTTGTTTGTTGCACCCGTTTTCATCGTAACATTTTCCGTAATTTTATATTCGATAGATTTATGCGTAGTATAGCAGCATCTGACTACATACTCATGATTGAATAAGTCAAGTACTACTAGTCGAAAAAATATCGTTCGCATATGTCCATATAGACGAACGATTTCCGGCAATAATAATACTACTAATAATAAAAAAAATAATAATAATACTAACGAAAAACTAACTTACCAGCATAAGCAAGATTTAATAGAAAAAAACTCATTCGACTACGACGTTTTTTTGAACAACATAATTGTAAAATAACAGAAATATTTGCCGAAACAATTAATATAAATATAATACAAAGAAAAATGATAAGCTAAAAAAGAAAATAAATAATTGTATAATTTTCTAATTATATCATATAATAAAAATTAATATTTTCAAAGAATAGATATTCTTATCTAATATATATTTACATGAAAATTTTTACAGAGATCATCTAATGATGATTCATTGATTGATGTTGTTGTTGATTCATTTTCTAACATTATTATCGTTGTTGTTTCATTGAAATCCATATAACTAGTCATTGTTATGATAATTCGAATAAAAACATTACTGTTCAAGGATTTATGTTCTTTTTTTATGTTTGTGTGTGTGTGTGTGTCTATGTTTGACACTCGTCAATCGGCAACTAACAATAGAAAATATCTATCTAGAAAAAGAAAAAGAAAATCAGAAAAGAAATTTTTTTTTTTTAAGAATCATTAATTGTGCATGTGTGTATTTACTTGTCTGAAAGATTATTTCGATGAAGATGAGTGATCATCATTTCCTGTACTATTACCCTCGTTCTTCTCATCATTTAAACTTTGTTAGATTTTCTACTAATCGAAGGTGACACAACGAACAGACATATATTTTACTAAGCAGAACAAGGAAATGAGAGATAGATAATATTCTCAACACGACAACACTAGATAGATGATAGTACTAGTGTGTTTATAGCTGATTGTCTATAATCGACTTGCTGACTGCTAGATGTTAAGATGAAGATAATATTATAGTTTATGTCGTTGTAGATAAATGCATAAACTTGTTGTTTTTGTCTCATATATACTACATAGCTGAATGCAAAAAACAGAATGATATGATACACTGCAATACATAAATATACAACTAGTAGTGACAACACAGGAAATTTTGCTGTGAAAGATGATGTCAAATGAGACACGATCATCTCTCTATATATTACTGTATTATTGCCAGATTAATCGGAGTGGCACTAGCAAACGCTCTCTTCTGTTCTCAGTTTTTTCATCTAATCGTTTTTCTCCGTTCTCTCGATGTCTTAAATCTCTATATTTCGAATGTGATCATCAGCTCATGTCAACAATGCATAAAATACTAACAACAACATCAATTTTTTCATATGCCTCTTTAATTTTAGTGTGTTCTATGTTATATTGTTAAGAAGTAATGATGTGTATGTGGTTTTCTCCTTGTAGTATGTCTGTCTTTCTAAGTGTAGCTAAAGACAAACAATGGGGACTTATGCATATGTACTAACATAAAAGAGTGGGAGTATTAACACTCGTTATTTTTCTTATTTGCTATAAATGCTAAAAATTTAGGCTGCAGAACGGCTCGTCTATAAAGAAATGTGATGGTGTGCCACAAAACAGACAAAAATCTTTTGTATTAATCAATAAAAAAAAGAAGAAAGATTTTCTTTTCGGAAAACGGATGCTAATTGAATTTCCTTCTTTTGTATCTTTTTTACTACCATACTGTATTTATCTCTTAACATATTATATACTGCTAAAACCTATAAAATCCATAGAATTGTGTAATATATTTTTCTTAAACAAGAGATTGCAATATATAAGATAAAGAAAAACAGACTTGCATTGTTATTTTTTACAACATACATTCACATCGATACTCGACGAAAGAAAAATTAATAGATTAATCAGTAAGGACAGTTCTATTGTGCTTCTACTTGATGCATAAGACCATATGTACGACATACATTAGTAAATTTCTCTCTCTCTCTCTCTCAATAATAAATGAAATGTTTTTATTACTCGTACTGAAAAATCTGTTTCTATTAATCAATGTATACATCGCATCGAAGAGTGATCTTATAAATATATATATATATATTTTTTATTTTATTCCGACACAATATAAGTGCGAGATTATAAAGAGTATTTATATGTTGACATATAAACAAATGATAATGATAGAGAACAACCTATAAGATATATAATAGAAAACTGATACTATCTTTTACAGATGAATACATATGACAAAAAGAAAAACATCTAAGAATATCAAATTTGATATGTTTCAACAATTCATTAATAAAAAAAATGTCTTCGTATTATTTCATTCTGTTGATTATCCTAAGTAGATAAAGTTCTGATGAAGTACAAAAATGTACATTATTTTTAGCATCGGTGGCAATGCTGTACGATATAACTAACACTGACAAATATATATGAAAGAGAAAGTTTACTTAGCTCACGTTATATATTATAAAAAAAAAATGCTACCATAAGATGCTGTGCATTTTATTGTTTTTTTTTTACTATAAATAATATGTTAAGAAAAAATAACGTATGATAGTCAAAAAAACAAAAAAAAACCCAAAAATGGAAAATTCACTTGGTCTCTACTGTATGTTAGCCAGACATCTGTCATTAATTTTCTTAAAAAAAAAAAGCAGTAGACTTATCGAAAAGAAATATCAAATGTCATAAAATGCAAAATGAGCAGATGATCGTATAAAGAATTAATTAGATTGAATTCAAAAGTTATTTATAAAACAAGCTAAGAATCAGCATTTGAATATAATGTATGTAACAAATGAGCGTTTTGTTCTTCTTTTTTTTCTTAACTCGTACTTGATGCTTTGTAGTTATTCAAAAGTTTTTCATAATAAAAAGAAAGTAAAGATTGACTATGAACGAGAATCAATTATATCGCAGGAAAATCATTTTGATCTTATGTTTATTATTATAAATATTCAGCTATTCTTTAAAAGTACATTTATGTATACATTACAGGGTACTTTGTAATTAATGTAGAATAAATTTTATTTGAATTGAAACTAAAAGTTGCAACTAAAGTATCTTATAAATAGTATCAATCATAGGAAAATTTAGGAGAATTGCCGAAAAAAAAAGTAATATTCATCGGCTAAATTAATTAAAACATAAGTATTTTAGACTGTAGTTTTAGATTTACTGTGAATAAATTACGAAATAACTTCCTCTAAGCCTGGAATACGATTAGACCTAGTTTAGTATGATTATGATCGGTACCTTTGAAAGAGAAGTTACCGAGATCGCTAAAAATAAAATTACTGGAATCATTGAAAAAGAAGTCAACGCGACCGGATATGAACTAAACAAAAACAAAAATTTGGTTCCGTACATTTCTAGATGTGATAAATCATTGTATGTATATTGCATAGATTTTCTTTAGTATCTCCGTGCTACAAGAGAATGTGGGTGTAGATGTCGATTTTCTTCTTGCTATCACTCACACTTCGACACATCAACACTTACATCGACACTGACAATGATTTACAGCCGTTTACGAGCGAACTGGTTCGACCGGAAATGCTTTTAGATGTGATGATCGTTGTTATTAAGCTATTGAATTGGTCGATCGATTGTTCAATACTATATACATCAAGATGTGATGTATATATTTATTAGGAATTAGAGAGTGAGTTTGAATATAAGATTATGAATAACTAAAATCAGATTATTTGAATAATATGATATCAATTGCATTTGCAGTAGAAATAACACATATAGAACTATTAATGCTAAATAATTCTATTGATTTCTATATTATCCTAATAAATTAATATGTATATATATATAAGATACGTTATATTCACAGCATGAATAAGACACAGAAAAATTTGAATGAGAAAAAAACGAAACATTTACAATATCAAGTTCTTTTTCTATTTAAAATATTCAAACATTGAGCATAAAATCTTTAAAATCCATGTACTATGCTTTACAACCGTATATTATTCATCGAAATTAAGCAATTGGATATATCTATGATCGAATTGCAAAATTATTGTACCGCTACATTCTTATGTACAAAAGTTGAAAAATCTCCAGTTCCTCTCTACCAATCCTTATGATTTTTGTCAGAGTATTCTCCTCTAATAAGTCTTCATTGCCACACAAAAAAAAAATCACGAATTTATCTCAAATTACACTCAAGATATTAGACGCGCAAGGTTAAAAAGATCGATTTTTACTACCATCTATTGATAAAACATGATATAGAACCGATTTGTTCTCTTATGATTTGAATCTCGGAAGTTGGCAAATTTATAATAAAGAGTTTGTGCTTTGTGAATATGAGACACTAAAAACTGTTAAAAAATATGAGAAAAGTGTATTACTTCTTGTTGAGACAAATATATAACATAAAACCTGAAAATTAAGTTGTCACGCTAAATGTCGTGCGAGATATTTTTACCTGGTTTGACGTATATCTCTCTTCAGGTATAACACAATGTGAGATGAAATTTTGAGCATTTTTTTCTACTCATTGTGGTCAACTATTATTCAAAATATCAAGGTCAGAAAACTTATGGTTCATGAATAAGAGAAAAATTAGGATCAATTTGTCATGCAAGGTTTTATCGGGAAAAATATCACGCGAAATTATTATGTGCATAATTGCCTCACCATTATAACCAAAGTAGATATATAATATATATTACTTGACTTCTATATTTAGGGAGCTATCAAGAGTCATGCGAATTAATCATAGCTTGTGTCTCATAGATTAATAAATTCATAGAAAAGGGTTATTAATTATATACATTCTCTAGTTGACTGCACATTTGCAAATTTTATCGCTATATAAGTATAAAAACCAAATATAGTTTCAGAGAAATCATGCAGTTTAGCCGCTAATTCTAGATCAAGCATGGTTCATTATTACAAAGAAAAGGTTCAATGTTAAAATCTAAAATATCGTCGAAAAATTCAACTGAGGCGTGGATTATCAAAGTCATTTGACCCTGGATTTTTAAACGGTATTTTTAAAAAACTGTCATTTCTTGGATTATTTGATAGTGATAAACGGAAAAATGTATTCATCTTCTCCTATCACATAGTACTATAGAATGCTCTAATCACCATTTTCAAAATCAAAAAAAATTTTTTTCATTCATTTTCACAGACCGGTACAATAATTTTAACTAGAGTGCTCAATTATCATTTGAGATTAAAAATAAAGTTTTAAGCCATGAATTGCCCAATTCAAGTTCGAATATAAATAGAGAGCTAACTAAATATTATTACTTCAAAAATAAATGAAAAAAAAAAACAACTTCCCTGTTGAAGCAGCAAAGAACGGCAAAAGATAAATTTTAAATGAATTAACTCTAATGCCAGTAATGCTAATGCAAAAATTTCAGCATCTTTTAAATGATGTTAACGCGATACCCCTACATTAAAGTATTCAACTCACCCAAACATATTTTTGTCTGAGTAACTGATCCTTTATCTTTGCGTCGCGGCGTGAGGATGCGAAGAATCGT